AACGATACTTACCTTATATCAACGTTACGCGGAGAAGATAACAGTAGCGACAGACTCGCCGGTTAGCCCGCAACACTACCAACAGTACTAGAGAAAGGACTTTGGGACGAGTCAAAGAAGTAGGCATCACCATTCAAGGAGTAACCATCCCTGCGACTCTGAGAATTATCGAGTTCAGAGACGAGACGCTACTACTCAGAACAAATTGTTTCCAAAAAGGGAAGGCCAGAATTCACTTCGACGAACAGAGGATACTTTTGAAGATCAAGAGAGAGAACTAGAAATGTCCATATCGCACAATGACATTGAAGTATTGGTACGACCTGGGGAATCCGAAGCAAGTGGTGAGGAAAGTGGAGACATGTTCGATGAATTAGAATACGAGAGTGAAGAGGTGAAAGAAGAGGAGAGATACTATACAGAGGAACAATCTGGAGAAAAGGGATGATCTGTAAAGAGATCCCGGGTCCCGCGATTTATTTAGCTGCCTTGGAGGAAATACCGATGCTGGAAAAAGAAAAGGAGCTTGCTGTCGTAGGACTAAAGGTAGACCTAAACAATCTGACAGAAGAGGAGCGGATAGAAGCGATAAAGCTGTTGAAAGCAGAGAAAGAACTATTCATGAAGGGATTGGACGAACTTACCCAGACAGATACGATCCAACATGAAATTGACACCAGTGACGTGAAACTAATCAAACAAGCACTCTATAGGATGGCACCGAACAAACATGAGTATATAAAAAAGGAGTTAATAAAAATGAAAAACCAAGGGCTGATTCGGAAATCAAGAAGTCCGTGGGCATCACCAATAGTGATCGTATCCATAAAGAATGGCAAACAATGCTTATGTATAGACTACAGGAAATTTAATGCAGTAACGAAAAAGGACGCCTATCCTTACCCAGGATTGACAACCTAATCGAGACTTTTGGGCAGGCGAAGTGGTTTTAAAACTTGAACCTTGCTAGTGAGTACTGGCAGGTTCAGGTTCACAAAAGGGATTGTGAAAAGACAGCCTTTGTGACAAAATTTGAAACATATAAGTTTCAAGTGATGCTGTTCAAGCTGTGTAATGCCCTAGCTACATTCCAGAGGCTGATGAATAAGGTACTATATGTAAAGATGGGTTCCTAAATTATTTATAAGGACATAATTCAAATGTCTCTTATTATTAAAAATTTTTATTTATATATTAAGAAATAAAAAAAAACTACCTATAAAGATTCTTTATAGTTTTAAGCATCTATACAAATCATTTCTGGAATTATGTCCCTATTGAAATAAAGAGCTAGGAATTATGTCCTCTAGAGGACGTAGATGTAAAGGGACATAAATTTTATATGCTAAATACTTTAGGGACCCATCTTTAACTATATGACTACATTGGTAGATTCATGGCCATCTATCTTAATGACATCATCGTGTACTCGTAGACATTTCCGGAGCACACTAGTTACTTGACCTGTATCTTCAAAGAGTTACGCCAAGCTTCGCTAAAGTTAAACGCAAAAAAATGTACTGTAAGTTCTTCCTATCAAACATAGGGTTTTTGGGACATGTTATAGAAAGGGACGGCATCTGGCTAGACGAAAAGAAGATAATGAAAGTAAGAAACTTTTTAGCACCTGGAAACGTGAGGCAACTGAGAAGCTTTATAGGACTTGCGTCGTATTATTGGAGATTCATTAGAGGGTTCGCAACGATCGCTAAACTGTTGCACCAATTACTCGAAAAAAATGTATGATATGAGTAGACGAACAAGCAGCAACTAGCATTTGAGCGATTAAAAACTTACCTGATGACAAACCCCATCCTACAGTATCCAAACTTTGAGAAGATGTTCTACTTGTATACCAATGCATTGGGAATAGGATTGGGAGCAGTGCTAGCACAAGTGGATGATGCTAGAAGAGAGTATGCAATCGCATATGCCAGTAAGAGTTTATCAAGGGCTGAAAGAAATTATATCACGACAGAGAAAGAGTGCCTTGCCATGATATGGGGGATTGAGTATTTCCACCACTACCTTGGTATGAAGCCATTCATAGTGGTTACTGACCACTTTACACTGAAATGGCTGGAGACTTCAAAATTGAAGGGCAGGAGGGCACGATGGATCCTCCATCTCCAACTATATAATTACACGATACTACATCATGCAGGAAAAAAGTACTCTAACGCTGACGCCCTGTCCTATTTACCTAATAAGGAGGAAGGGGCGAGTAATAAGAGCAAAGTAAACGGAGAGAAGGAAATAAAATCAGACTCACCAGAACAAACGGAAGATGACTCACCTTACTAATGTGACATGAGCAATAACAACATAAATGAGTACTCAAAGGGACCCAATCACCACATCTGATGAGAAAAGACAACAACAACCACTACGGCAACAACGAAACAAAACACAATGATACAAGTAAATATGGAAATGACACAATAAACAAACCTAAAAATCTGAGAAACAGAATCCAGATCAGGTTCCGGTGTCCTGGCAAGTAAGAAAAATAGAAAATAGAGCGCAACAAAGAAAGAACCAATAAGTATAATGGACAAAGAATGATATAGACAACTAAAGAGATACCTATAAGAACAACGGTTACCGGTGGATTGCTCACAGCAGCAAGCAAAAAGAATAAGGGTGCAAAGTAACTTCTTCATCATAAAAGAAGGAAACGTATATAAAAAAAACAAACACAAAAGAGGAAACTTACTAAAGGTGCTACGACACCATGAGTTGGAACCTATACTATACCTAACGCATAATCATCCGTTGGGAGGACATCTGGAAAAAAATGTCATGTTCAATA